CCACCTCTTCCTTGGATTGTGAAATGAGTATGTTCAAGATAGCCAAGACCATGGCCAGCCAGCGCTGTATACTGGTCAACGAATCCTAAAAAAATTATTAATTATTATAATAGTAAAAAGAATATATGAGACAATACAAAGCCTCAATCTCCACAGAAAGGAGCGGTAAGGTAAGGTAAGGATGAGACAATACAGTATGAATTTAATACTCTGATTTTAATAGTAATATTTTTTCAATTTTTTTCATAATGTAACAGTGAAATCTTACAATATTTTGAGGGGTGACTAAGAGTGTTTTGAGTAGAATGTCAACAGGCCTAAGAGCTGTAGGAGCCACCGTTGCCAGCAGTTGATGTAAGGAATCCAATGCCTTCTGGGAGTCTAGATTCATCTAGAAAAAGATAATAATTTGTTAGTACATACACAGATCCTAGGTTAAGTACAGGTAAAATGTCTTTATTTTTACAATTGCATCCCAATTGGCCAAGTGTAATCATTTCATCTCACTGAATTGTTTCTTTATGTCAAGTCTAAAGCTCTGTCCAGACTATCAAATTTTCTTTGACAAAAAACTGTTGTGTGCCCATATATAGTCATGATGTGCCTATATATGGTCATGATGTGCCCATATATGGTTAAGATGTGATGTCATTATCACCATATTTAGGCATGTCACATGTTTTTGTCAAATAATTTGAGAGTTTGTACAGGGCTTTAAATGAACAGAAGCTGTTTCAGTGTACTTCTTTTTTTACTATAGATGTTTGTTACTAAAAAAAGGTTAATTTAGCAGCTTAAGATACTTTGGCCTATTGATAGACAAGGCTTTGCTTGCCCTAGGATACCGAAGTTAGCAACTGGGTATAAGGCATGAGTTGGTGTTTGATTCGTCAGTACAATCATGGAGGAAGAAAATAAGTTAATTACCTGTTGTTTGGCAAGCAGTGGTAGTATGAGGTCAATGGATTGCCTTGACAGTCGCTTCCATTTCTCCTCGCTTTCCTTATGAGCCTGCTGAAGCACTGCCAACATCATATCTAAAACCTTAACACAACACATGAATATGTTAATGAGAGAAATTTGCATAATACACATGGAAAAGAAAACATTCAAATGAGGTAAATCACATCTCTTGCTTTCTCTGCCTTTCTCGCTACCTCCATCCGCTTCATTTTTTTATTTCTTACCTGGTGGAATTGGATTAGTCTGGTCAGCATATACACGACCACCTCTCTCTGTGTCTCCAAGTCTTTAGTACTCTCTGACCTACTGGAGCTCCTCAGTACGAACAGGTCATGCACAAGCGGTTGAAGAGCAGGCACAGCTGTTAGAAAATAACATAACATTACACTATTGGCTAATAAAAAATTGATGTAAGAATTAATCTATATGACTGGTGGATCCTTAGAACTGGCACAGCTGTTAGAAACAGACAAAATGTTACACTATTGGCTCAGGAAACATTCATGACAAAATTAAGCTATCTGATTGGTGGATCTTAAAACTATAAGTTGCACTGTGGATAGGTTTGACATGATATTTACCGTGTGTTGTGGCTTTCTGTCCACTTGCCATGATGCCATCACACAGTTGGATTATCTTTGGCATTGTAATAATGTTTTTGCTATGGTAACGTTCATACGACAGAAGAACCAGGAAGTAGAAGATGTGAGGTATCAGTGTCTCATAATCTCTGGAAAGAGAGTGTTAATAGGTTAACCGATATAATTAATATTGCTTTTACCACATTTATAGTATAATTATTAGTGCTATCTTGACAGAATACACACCAATTTATCAGGTCTATTTTGAAACAGCACCACCAATGTCTTGTAACTTTTCACAGGCGAACATCCAGCCAAAACACCTTGTTGTTTGCGAATTT